GCAAAATCAGTACTTATTTCCCCCACTGTAAATTGTGCATTTAAAGCTCTGTGTTGTTACGCTAGCATAACCCGGATTCAGGACAGAGAAATGAGGGTGGAAGGTGATTCCCCCAAAGCCACAACAGTGTGTTTAATCTCATTTAAGTTGTTTATCATCTCGGAGTGTGCTGCGCATTAATCTGCCATGCATATCTGAGTGGTAATTACAGCCAATATCGGTTGCAGAATGATGGATATGTTTAGGTTAAGAAAAGAAAACAGGATGATTAATAACATTCATTACTTCATCATTTGGCATTTGACTGTTTTCTGCAGCAATCAAAGCTGCAGAGAGAGAAGGATTATTTTAGTTTTTTCCCCCCAGGATCCAGCCTTCTGTTCACAAATCTGGACTTCTAGAAGTACTTCTTCTACTTTCAGATCACCCTCATGTGTTTACCTAGGCAATGCAAACACCCCGTTACCATAGTTACCGCGGTCTAAATGAGCGGCAGTTGTAGTGTGACAAAGACAATGAGGTTTGACCGGGCTACTGTTAATGGGCCGGTTTAAGGAGGGAGGGGATCTATTGACCCGTCGGATTGTTAGAATAAAGCTTTTCCAAACAGACGTACAGTGGGGGAAATAAGTATTTGACCCCTTGCTGATTTTGCAGGTTTGCCCACTTACAAAGAATGCTTATTTTTCCTCATCAGATGGTTATCAATTTTTATAAATTCATATGATGTGATTTTCTGGAATTTTCTTTGGGATTCTGTCTTTCACTGTTAGAATGTACATATGATTAAAGTTATAGATCGTTGCATTCTTTGTAAGTGGGCAAACCTGCAAAATCAGCAACGGGTCAAATACTTATTTCTTATATCTTATATCTACTTATATCTATCTATCTATCTATCTACTGTATAACGACCCGGATGAAAACAATCAATAGTCCAACGGTGGCAGGTCAGATCACGACTCGCAAAAGAATAAAATCCTTACAGTTCAGTACACTTCTTTTTTTTGCTCCACTTTAGGTAACTCTCCCTTTGCTTCTCTTATAACTTCTGAAACAGTTTCATAAAGCAGCTCACGGCTGACAGAACGTGTTTGTACAGGAGGGATTTGGCTTCAAACTGAAATGGGCGTGTTAGTCTCATTTTGACATGTTTTTCTACACGTTATAAAAAAGAAAAAAAAAGGTTTAGTCACACCAACATATCAACACGTCCATTCCTATTCTAATGTGACCAGTCTGGGTGTCACTACAGGGGTAGATCTATCTATCTATCTATCTATCTATCTATCTATCTATCTATCTATC